AATTAAATCTCTAATTTCTAAAACAACTCTAAATGGTCCCAAAATAATATATACTAGTGCACAAGTCCTAGTTATCACAATTATCAAGTTAAAACACAAGTAAGCCAATGGAACCTGTGAAATAGATTTTAATTAATGCTTTTAATCAAAATCTCTAGATTTTCATGCTCATCCAAATGCTCTCAAATTAAAGTATGTTGAAGAATATGCCAAGACTTAATTTAAAAGTATATCACAACTTAATTTCATGCAAGGTACGACCATGATAATTAATCTTTCACAAAAGAAAAAAATTAAATAAAAGTTGCAATTCTTTTCCAAATAATCCAAATTTAATATATGTTAACAACCACATCAAAACTTAATTCCCTAGCATGCCATAATTTAATCCTAAGTAGAATACCACCATGAGAATTAAATCTTAACTATAGGAAACAATTAAATTAAATTCTAGATTCTTAACAAAAGCATGCATACAAGTTGTATAAGCATCAAAAACATGCAAGACAATAATAATATGAAATTGTAACACCCCCTACCTCCATTTGAGATGGAATCTCAAATCCCCACCAAAATGAAACCGCTCCGAATCCAACGAAACTTCTAGGTTTTGTCGGGGACAACACGATCTACATGAACCCCCAAGAAGCCCCATCAAAATCAAAACTTGACTTCAAACCCAAACTCAAGAAATCGTCAGAAATGAATTCTAATAAGGGGGAAAGGTGGAGCACGTAGAAAGGAACGATAAACGTTAAGGCCAAAGAATTTTCACTAAGGAAATCAAGTGGAGGAGAAGAAAGAATGAAGGCAGCCCCTTGGGCTCCCATGGCTGCCAGCCAAGAGGGTGAAGAAGATGATGGAAATCTGACTTTTTGACTTAAGACCCCCTATTTATAGAAAATCTCAAAAAGTGCCCTGAAAGGGTCCCGCCGGGTCCGAAAAAGTGGATTTTGAGCAAACACACTCAAATGACAAAACTCCGTGAATGAAAAAGAAGCACAATGAGAAAACATGAGCAATAAAAGAAACGACGTTGAAAATTGAGTCCCGAGTAGAAAGATATGGACCAAACAAGTTCAGCGCAAACTGGGTTCAGAAACCCTAAAACTAGAGAAAAGCAACCAGAAGAAAATTCCATGAGTACACGACTCGACGAAGAGTGAAAATGAATCCCATACGATTATCCAGGCTCAAAACAAGGCATTTAGCAATAACTTCATTAATTGCACAATGGCCCCTCCAAAAAGTGAAAATTGCACTAATGTCCCAGAATGAAAATATCTTCCAAAAATATTTTCTTAAAAACCCATGAAATAAAATATCTTCAAAAGATATTTATGAAAAATACCCTAAGAAATGCAAATGTTTCTGAAGAACTGTACATCCATGCCTCTATGGACACCGGGAGCAACCAGAGTACTTTCTTACAAAAGTAAAGATACGTATTTCGTGGAAACCACTTAGACTAAAGATATGTGAAGTTAAAAACCAACCACAAAACACAAGAAGTGAGGTTATGCCAACAAAGTGACAAATGGGGAAAAGACAGAATAGGGAAAAGGATGAAAAAGTGAATAGTGTTCAAAAAATGAAAATATGGAAATGACTCGGTCCTCAAATGAGGTTGTCAATCCAAAGAAAAGAGTCTTGAAAATCATTCCAGAGCACTCGAGACGACACTAAGCGATGAGAAACTAAACTCAGAAAGGAAAAGACCAACGGAAAAAAAATATCCGTAAAAATATGAGCAAAGGAAAGGAAAGAAAAAGACCAGGTCATTACAACCTTCCCACCTTAAAGGGATTTCATCCCCGAAATCTTGCCCCAATAAAATAAAAGGTAAAACTAGGATAACTACGGAGTACATCTCTGAGTATCCCACACAACACGCTACACCAGCGACCTCGAAATTGAAAGGAAATCCACAAACTAGTGTCATTTGCACCCATGTGCTCATGACAAGACAACCTCTCAGAGGAAAAGTGACCATATGGCCACACGACAAGTTAGAGCTCACACACAGAACCCAAGGTCAGACAAAAGAACGGAAAATAACAACCGTAAGCATCCCTCATGACGAACCATCATACCGATCCAAAAATAACCACCAAAGGAACTCCAAAATACCCACGTATCAATCAGGGTACAGAACAAGGATAACGTGGCAGGATGAATAGCGACCAGAACCCGTGAACGGCGTACTCAAATGTGTGGTAGCAATGACAGTACCTAGTGCCCGTCCATACTTACTTGTCAGTAAGGTAACATCGACGACAACTAGCACCCGCCCACAACACATAACTTTGTACGGTAGCATGACAGTATAATGTACTAATTTATAACCTGCCCCCCTACCCATAAAACCTCTCGATACAAATGACATTAATGTCAAAAATAATCATTACCAAAAGCACCATGGAGGCCGGACATTTTGTGAGAGTTGAGATATGGTCCAAAGACGTCCTGCCGGACCATCCTGGCTAATCCCAAACTCTGACAACAATGTCATAGGCACCATTATGCTTAAGGCCTTAAATCCTCAATACAACAAACCAACATCTCCAATGTTTCAAAATACTCCTACTAACAACATCAATCAAGAAGTCAAAGCTCAACAAGCGAATCAAAACCTCCAAAAATCAAAACGAACCTCACCACAAGACATTTCATCGAAAGTCCCACACATCTCCTTGAAACATATCAACTACAAGACTACACCAAAATCAAACATCGGATCCACATCTTTATCATGGGTAACTAAATTCTTGAAATATAGGTCCACTATGTGGCACACATATCAAAATCTCGACAATCAAAATACCAATAAGTCTCTTAAAACCGTACTTGGAAACACCAAGTTAAATCAAATTTCCTTGATTTCAATCGATCCACAACCAATCACTGGAATTATGATTCCTTAAAACTACGCCTAGTCATAACTAGGACGAGAAAACACCACAAACAAACCATATCCAATATCGATCGTCCAAAATTTCCCCTAAGAGTCAACCACATCCAGGTCTCCAAAACCAAAGCAAGTCTCCGAAAGACATCCTCAAATGAGTATTGAACTCACCTCACGAATCAAACAATTCCTCAATAATATGAACACAAGTCCCCAGAAAATGATCTTACACCAATCCACTCACTCTGAGCACCACAACCTGCCAACAACCACCGCAAAACTCCCCAAGGGAAGACACGAAGGAAAGGAAACCACCAATCCTAAGAAGGACAACACCAAGACTTCATCTTTAAAATGAAAGACAACAAAGTCAAAGACTTCACCCTTTACATGGAAGTAAGTCAACTAAAATCCATCAAATCCTCACCAAGGACTCAAGACAAAAATGGTGATCCTCACGAACCAACCAACCCAAAACTGTGCACAAGACGACGAAGAGAAGAGACCCACTCCTTGTGAAGTCCCTAACACGAACCAGGAAAAGAAGAGAAACCTTATTCCCCCACAAGTGTCAACATGACAAACGAGAAAAGTGAGCATTCTTCCCACCTTAGGGAAGTGGACAGCCCAAGAGAAAACAAATGTGACAACTCCTCTACAAGGAATCTCACAACAAAACCCTTACGGAAACGCACATACACACTACGTGCGACTGAGGGGAAACAAAAGGGAAAAACTAAACATGGAAGTCATCCAAATAACAAGGAAATGCAACTAACAAGAAGGTAAATCTACTCATATAGATAAAATGAAGGGTACATGCAGAATGTCTCCACATAAGCATAAAATCATGTCACTAAAGTACAATAACAACATGGCATATAAATTGGAACACTTAAAGGATCATGAAGCTTACTCTTAGAATCAAAGAGCAGGCTCTCCTTTCCTAGAGCAGGCTCTTTCCATGGGAGAGCCGGCTCTCACCCCTTTGAGAGCCTCGACTTTGTTCCTTCTTCGTTTCCGACCATCTGCCTCGTCTCTGGCCACTACAAGAAATTAGGGTTTTAGGGACAGTCCAAACTGTCCCTAAAAGCCCGGAATCCATCTCTAAAAGTCAAATTGGTCCGTGACTAAAAGTAGCGTACCAAAAGAGCTTTAGGGACGGTCAAAGTTGACTATGACAAATACTTTTGACCTTTAGGGACAGTCCAAACTGTCCAAAATAACACCGTCCCTAAACCTTTTTAGGGACGGTCTAGACTGTCACTAATAAAGTATGAATTAGGGACAGTTTGAAGGACTGTCCCCAATACCTACAGTATTAGGGACAGTCTATCTACAGTATTAGGGACAGTCAGACCATCCCTAATACATTATTTTTAAATTATTGTATTAAATTATAATTATTGTATTTTTAAATTATAATTATTGTATTAGGGACGGTCAGATCGTCCCTAATATATTATTTTTAAATTATACTTCTTGTATACATGTATAAATTAAAGTGATATATAATTAATATATAAATATATAAATTTTATAATTTAGTTTGATATGTTTGATCTTTCTAAATTCGCAAATTGTGGCCAATGAAATAAATACTACACTTGCATTTGCTTCAAAACAACAATAATTTATTGCAAAATCAAACAACAGGAGCTATTATTCATTGATTATTCCACTTTGAGAACAGGAAAAATCCCATTTGCCACCACCCAGAAGAAATGAAGCCTAATTAACTCAAACATAGACAAACCTATACATATATATGACCATTTATATCTGTTGTAGCCCACTATGGCCACTTTTCACACAACCTTCAATGGTACCAACTCACTCTGTGTACCATCCATCTCAAGCTTTGAAGGTATGAAACTCTTTATAAATAAAGCAACATACAGCATAATGATGAATGGGCAGGAAAGGCCGATCCAAAATGAAGGAATAACAAATGCATTCAATCTGTAGAACATCGATCCTCACTTGATAGTACCCTGCCCAAAGCCTGCATTAACATAGCTCAAAGTTATATATATACATATATTTGTGTAGATATAGCATTTGAAATGAATCAAAGGATTATTAACTTACATATCAGACTCTAAGGATTCCTTCAGTTGATGATCTAACTCCAGAGTGTAAGTCATTTGCATCATCTGGAAAATATATATATATATATATTCACGATCAATTAAAGTAAGAATTTTAGTTAATAATGGTTGACCGGAGTTAGATTTGGATTTTAAACTTACTCAGTGGTGTTTTGGAAACGAAAAAGCAAGCTCCGATTACAATGTAGCACAGCAGAAGAATTAACCATTTCATGTAGTGGGATGTCCCATCCTATAAGACGATAGAAAGAAAATACACAAAATAATTCAACTTCTATGGAGCGTCTAAAAGGACTTTAACCATGTAATAATACACAAAATACAGTATAAATTTGATCCATCCTAAACCCAAAGTTCTAAACTGGCCAAAATAGTAAAAGTTATAGCCAGTTTTCACTAAATTTGCTTCAATTATACTTTTTCAAGATTCCATATCATTTTGCTAGAATTGTTCATTTGACTAGAATACCTAACAACTTTTTCTTCTTTTTTTTTTTTTACCTAGTCAAAATACATAACAATTAATTACACTAAACTAATAAATAGTATATGGTTAGTAACAACAACAACAACAGAAGCACAAAATCCATGAGAAAGATTTTATCTATATGTAAAGATCATGCAGAAAAAAATAAATATGCTGATAGATTCTTATGTAAATGCATGCAGAAGAGAGGCATGACAACAACTTTTCAATGTGGTATTTTCTGGGGAGAATGAATTAGAGGGCACACAGCATGGCATGGTCCATAACCTAGGCCAGATGCCATCCCATTTTTGGTTGAACATATGAAGGATGGTTGGACAGCAGCAAAGTTAGGTTTCCTACCTGTAACCACACCAGAATTAAAGACTCTTCCCTGCATGCCAGGCAATCAAAGGAAGATAACATATTTCAATGAATGAACAACTCCTCAACTATACCAAATTCTAACCATAGATATGTATTAAAATTCATTAAAAATAATGTCGTCCCAGGACTTATGTACAATTTTCTGCAGAAACACGTTTTCTTTGAAAATTCACCAAAAATAGCATATTAATCCAAATTACATGAATCCAAAGCCGTTTGAAAGCTAACCTACTGTACTTTGATACCAATATTTCATTAAAACAAGCACATGAACAATCAGTACAGTTTTAAATATAATAGTAGCCAAAATTTAGTTTGAAAACAGTTTTTCACAACATAATATACTCAAAAATCCATCACAAATTCAATTATCAACCAATTTTAGTAAAATAAAACTCTGTAAACTCCTACCTAGTGTACTTTAGTATCTCAAAATTTCAAAGCCAATTAACAAGTCAAAAGTATGATAAATTCAGCCCTAAACCCATACTGTTCAGTTTAATCTTCAGCACAAATATAAATTTCCAAACCCAACAAGTTTTCAGCTCATTTCACCCTTTGACAAAGTATTCGACAATTCAAACCATAGTCCAAGGATATGAAACAATAGCAGCATTTTTTCTAAATTTTTAACAAAATAAATCAAATTTTAACCTACCTCTTTGAGCCTCTTTTCCCAATTTTCCTTCTCTATTTTTCTCTCTTTGTTAACCCCTATATATACTTCAGCATCAAGTTCATTGCTCTCAACTTTCTCCATCTCTTTGTACAATAAATATACCTAAATGTATATATGTCCTCCTACAACCCAGGTGAGAACCTTCCCTTTGGAAGCTTGCCGCCTTGTGAGTATACAAGTGTACATATATTGCTTCCTTACATAAAACTTCTCACTATACAAGTATACATACAGATGACTTCTCTTGGAAACTGTCCACATGTTTCCCACTTTCGCAAGAACAAGGAAAATTTGAATTCAAAATTGCACCTTTTATGGGGTATTTTTAAAACCGTAAATCAATTGTTCTACAATAAAAACATCAGATTTCTAGTTCTGTCTGCACTCTACTTCCTCAATGATTCAACAAATGTATGCAAGTCAATAATCATCAAAGCCACGTAAAAGCAATCCAAATCAAACTTTGAAAGAAATTTGTATGAACATATTTAAATTAATGAAACTTCTCTAAATAATCTACTCCATCTTGCTACTTTGACACTATTAGACAGCCATTTATTTTCTAACACATCTTTCTTTTTTTTTTTTCTTTTTCAATTTTTTTTTTTTTTTTTTTTTTTTTGTAAGACTCATTTATCTGTCTAATAGTGCAAAGAAGAAGATTATTTTTGCTTCCCATAAGTTTAGAAAACTTCTAATGAGCCTTATCAGTAGTACTACTGCTCTTTTTTTTTTTTTTCTTTTCATTTTTTCCCTTCTCCCTTCTCTTACATTTGTGAAAAATTACATTGCAATTTTCTTGACAAAAATGGTGATTTACACTCAATTATGTAATATACTTTTCCCTAAAACTGACTTAATATAGGGAGATGGAGATCAGGGACTAGGTTGGTTTCCACATCATCATTGTCTTCGACAGCCAGAGTCAGTTCCTCTGCCCTCTTTGATGGAACTACTACGTTTAATTTCTCTCTATATTTTTCTTCATTATTATTAATTTGGGTATTTTTTTATTTTTGTTTACTCACAATTTTGGTATGCTTCAAGAATTTGCATACTTTATCTCACAAATCAAAATGGGTTTGATCTTCTTTTGAAGGTTGTATACCTCTTAGTTCAGCCCAAAGAGTTCTCCAAAATTTCCTGAGTGCTTTCAAGGGGATTCAAACTCACAATCTCCAAAAAGTGAGGTAAGAGTGTTACCATTAAGCCATTCCCTTGGGGTTCAGTAAAATACTTCATTAAAAATTGATTACACTCCAACAAAGTTAGGGCAATTATGCTTGAACTCTTACCATTACATGAGTATACAGTGGCACGTTGCATTTAAAAACTTGGTTCATGGGTGTTTGTTAAGTTCGTTCCAGACTTTTAGCTAGTGATTTCAATTGAGCTAAAGACAAAAATTGTGACCTCAATGATTCTATAAGAACTTTTTTACCATTGACTTAAAGCCAAAGGGAAGAGGTATTTTATTTTCTACTTAGCCAATCATGCTGTTTTAACATAGTTTTGTTGTTTGAGAAATTTATGTTTTACTGAGTTTTCTTTTCTTTTTTAATTAATAACTATACTACTCTTTTTTTTTTTTCTTCTTTCTCTTTTTTTTTTTTTTTTTTTTTTTTTTTTTTTTTTTTTGTAATTTTTGGAGAAATTTATTGAAGTACACTTCCCTTTCCCCCTCCTCCTCCTCCCAAGGGATGATTAGCACCATTTGCGAACACTTGGAATTGATTTAGGCATGCCACAGTTAGCAATTAGAAACAAATTGCACTCATAACAGGTCAACTTTGATGATTAAGGGCACCCACAACTGATCTTGCGAAACAATAATAAGGGAATATGCTCTCTGTCACTGTTTCATTGACAAGATTAAAATATGCATCAAATAATTCACATGAATATAATCTAAAAACTAAATATACTGAACCATCAAACAACATCACAGTAGTTTATCATGTAAATTGAACTTTCTTGCGGAATATGAATATATAGAGAGAGGGGAAAAAAAAGTAATTAACAAAGACGTTGAATAATTAACCTAATTAAACAAGTGTGTATATGAATTCATACACTTCTGCCCTATTAAAAAGATTTCAAAAATGAATAGAAGAAAAACTAGATTAAAACAAAATATATCCTTGTAAGAAGTGGTTTGTAGTCAGTCGTGATCTCAAAGAGAAAGATAACAGATGTTCAATAGATGGAACAAAAACGAATCAAAGAGGTAGAGAGAAGAATCTTCTGACCAATACCGTACCAAACGGTAGCCGCCGTTGAACGTTGTCAGCCTTGGCTTATTCGTTCGTCCGCCCTTCGTCGGTTGGCCAGCGTGACAAGTCGGAGCGTTTTAGAAAGGCAAAGAGGCGGTGCGAAACTGGTTGGTTCTTAGGAAACTCGAGATTCTCTTCGAAGAATGTGTAATCCCAAACTACATGGACCATCAGATCAAGCAAAAACACAAAGATTTACAGAAATCAAAAACCCTAAAAATGTTGTACCTTACGATTAAGAGTGGCTGTTGGAACGATTGGGTTATTCGGCCTTTGCTGCTAGAAGAAGGTGAAAGATTCCATGTCTTCTGCAACGGTGGAAAAGGGTGGAAGAGCTAGCCTCTGTTTTCTGCAAGGTAGAAAAGGCGTGAGGGCTTGGAGGCGGGTTGAGAAATGAAGTGGTCTGAAGATAGACTTTAGGTATATGGGATGTAATGATATATTAAACGGTGTAGTTTAATGTATTTTGTAAAATAAAATAATTAAATATATTATAATTTTAATCGCGCCAAACAAGGAATGAAGCGCCAAGTTTTGCCGCACAATTTTTTGTGGAATTGGGGACAGACTTTTTTAAGTTTTAGGGACAGGGTGTAAAGACCGTGCCAAAAAAGAAGGCTTTAAGGACAGTTTAATTGACTGTGCCAAAAAAGAAGGCTTTAGGGATAGTTTCTTTAGACTGTGCCTAAAAAGAAGGTTTTAGGGACGGTTTTTAAGACTGTCCCTAAAGGACTGTCACTAAAACCCAAATTTCTTGTAGTGGGCCCTTTCATACCCCTCTGTTCTTCCTTAAAACTGGTCCTCACTATCTAATATATATACAATGTTAATCCCCGGTCCTTAAATTACCATAATACAAGTTAATATAGTGATATAAAACGACGACCAATTTAATGCTTTGAAACAAACAACGAAGAATAGAGTTGCAAGAATTGTTTTCAGACAATATGCACATATAAAGATAATCTAATTAACATATTCCAAGCATGTAAGATTCAATTAAAATTCAAAAACAATCCTAGAGATCATCAAAGGATGCACAGAAAACAGGCAAAGGGAGAGAGACAGAATATAACTTGCCTTTCGGTTTCGGTTTGAAACCTTTCAACATCGTCTTCTTTCTAGGTTTTCCAGTGACCTTAGTTGCCGTTGAATCTCCTCTACTACTCTTGGTTTAACCCCACGAGCAACTCAGTCCTTTCTCCTTGGTCCAACCTTTAATCCATAACTGAAATCCTAACGAAACTCTCTCTCTCTCTCTCTTCCTCACAATACCCTCTATGTTTCTCTATGTCTCTGTATACGAATAGGGTTTTTTAAAAAAACCCCTTGCAAAATTATCACAGTATATTTATAGGCATATATAAAACCTACGTTTACTTATATTCAGAGATGGAATCCCAACTAAACCCTAGTCGGCCAATTTTGTTATACGATTTAAAACCCTAGAATTTATAATACACCTTAAATGACGGTAATATTATAATTTAATTAATAATAATTACTAATTATTAACCTAATCCACATATACATATATACCCATATGTACATGTATATATTTCCATGGGTAAATACTGTACCTATTTACACTATCCAAAAGTCTATGAATCCTAACCAAGCCTAACCTTGTTTAAAAAATAAATAAATAAAACAATGCATTTAATTAAACATTTCAAAGACCTCTTAAGCATATAATTCAATTAGAATAAAGAATTCAATTAACCAATTAAACATTCCAACACAACAACTAATCATTTAAATCAAATAAAAAAAATAATTAAACACAAAATCAAATAAAGAATAAAATAATTAAACCCATAATCAAATAATCACACAAAAATGCCCTAAAAATAATTTAAATTCCAATTTTATCCTTTTGAAAACTAGGGGTATTACATTTAGTTGGTATCAGAGCACTTCAGGTTCTAGTGTCCTTAGGAGTGTTTTTCGTTATAGGACTTCCGCGTTGCGTCTCTTAAAACTTAGAGCCATATTTGGATTCGTTGTACTCTTTTTACGGTTTGCTAGGCGGAGCTGATGTCAATTATATTCTGTAGATACAAAATTGTTGACACTAGGAAGAAGATGGGGTCTAAGGTAAAAGAAATAAAGACCCTAAGGAGTAAAGGAGTGCGTAGACGAGTTCTTTGCCATAAACAAAACTGGGAATCGAAGGTTTAGTTATGGGATTGGCGTTACTTAGATAGTATAAGCCAAGAAAGAATTAAGGTATAGGTGTTAGGTCACCGCATACTGGGACCAACATAACTTCAGTTGTTCTCGAAAAAGGAGACAAGAGAAGAGTAGGAGACCGAAGAGGATCCGAAGGGAAGAGATTTCAGCATATTCAAGAAAGAGAATACTGAATCTTGAAGATGAAGGATCGCACGAGGGTGCTCTCATTCACCAGCAGTATAGTGAATGATACTAGTAGAGTTGGTGTGAACCAATCTGCATATAGTTAAATTTGCGTATCATCTCTCCGGGAGTTGTTTGAGAAGTGCTCTTTTGGAGGGTCGAAATATGGTGGAGTTCTTATCAAAACAAAGATGGGATTTTATATCACATTCTGGAGTGTACGGGGACGGTTTGCATTTCACGTATAAGGAGGATGGGTATTTGCTTAGGGAAACGATTATGCAATTAAGCTATGGTTAGCGGAAAGGTTTCAAGGTTGGATGCTTACCAATGAAACTATGAAATGAACTTAGGTGAGAACATTTGGCAACTTGAGTTCAAAGGAGGTTTTCTTCTCTGGAATGGAGGATGTCTTAAGTAGAATTATATTTTGGTTGTTTTGTTGTATTGTGTGTATCTACATGTTTCCTTTTGTTGTTATGTGTTGTATTTTGTTATTACGTGTTTCATTTTTGTTACTTGGTTCAGGATTTGGAATATGGTTTAGTTGGGGGCACAAGTATGTGATCAGTCGACTATGATTTTAATGACATGGAGTAATAGCGCTATATGCGCTAGGATTTGTGGATATATGGTCATATGATTGGTTAGAGAGACAAACTTCTAGCTAATCTATTGGACCTGGATATGCGTCAATATGGTATGCTACTAGGGAAGGGATAGTTAAACTACCAATACGAGTCAAATAATCTACAATGATTAGTTTGATATGCTCTATGCTAAGTAGGGATTCATTTTTACAACACTATAAGAATGGTGGTTGTTAATGTTTTGGGGATTCGTGGAGAGTGTGGTAAATAAAGATCACCGTAATACCACTATGGTTCGGACGAAGGATTTTGTGCTGGTAAGTACTTATTATAATGACGCCGGGAGAGGAAAGCTTCCTCAGTCTATTCGTAAACAAGACATTATTCTCGAGAGTGTCATTTGGAGGGGTTATTGGAGTTGCACTTGGAGGAGGAACCACAGGTTCTACACTGTATAAAATGTGAAATTTTTTTTTTTTTTTAGGGTCATCATTCACAACAATTAGTTGTTGTTATGACATTGATGACTAAATGGAGGATGGAAAAGTTTCATATTCATCTGAAATGAGACAAGGAGTTAACTTTACACTTACCTATAATAGAGAAGTAGGGTGTGTTAAGGACAGGAAGGATAGACCGAACGTCTATATAAGGAAGCGGTGCACGGTGTGTGTGGAAAGTCATAGTAAATTGACTTTCATTGAATGGACTTTCCGGTTGATTTTTATTACATGTATGCTTATCACTAACTGGTGATGCATCGCTATAGTTGTAGGGTTAGCTTTTGAGGATGCTTCGATGTAAGCAATGGGTGTAAACAAAAGCTAGTGGTACCAGACCAGTTGGTACTTCCTATATACAAATGGTAAGAAGTATATAAGGACTGAGATTCACAACTCTTAGTTATTTATTCATCCTGGTGAAAACAAAATGCCTCATGGTATAAAGCAATGGTTTGGAGGATCGGCAAGTAGAGGAACGTGGTGATTTGGTTACCATTTTTCATATGATCGAGATGGATCATTCGAGATTCCTAGATCCTTGTAGACATTTTCTATGTTCAAGAAGAAATGATAGAACCTTTTCACGGATTTGGTTGAGGGGTTACTAATTTTTTTTTTACAAAGGATCAGGATTTGGTAGGTGTGTTGGTTAGTTTCTTTCTTAAATCAGCTAAATTCTGGTTTATTTTGGATTCGTAGGATATCAGTTCGTATGTATAAGAGGGGATTATAGGATGACTTCGATGCATCAAGGCGGTGATTCACACTTTACATTAAGTTTTGTCCGGTGGAAGGGAATAGGGAAGTGGACGTTCTCAGCAACCGTTAAGATATTGCATACATTACGCTTTATTATTTGAGTTCGTATTTGTAGTTTTGCCTATATAACAATGACACGGGCTGTTATCACAAGAAATACAGAAGTTAACTACAAATATTGGGTTGACCTTCGTAGAGGTGTTACCTTACTTAGCTAGAGGGTATGGTATTCCAGGATTAGTTTCTATTTCGTGTGGTCAGAATAAATGTGGTTTACATCGATATTTTTTTTCTTGATGCACTTGGATAGTTATAAGGAACATCAAGACATCAAATGTCAGTTTTACTGTTCAGGTTTGGGCAGAGACATGTATATAACTGTCTATACGAGTAACACTTGTTAGAAAGGTGGACGATGGATAACCAGAGATCATTGGAGAATTTTTGCCACTGCCAAAATCAAAATGGGAGTGGAATTACTGGGGAAGGTTAGTTTTTTTTTTATACTACAATGACTTTCATGGAGGGTGTTTCTCCATTTAGGTGATAGCTTATAAATTCGTGATTTACAACGTTAGGATGAGACGCATAGAAGTTTTATACATTTATGTTATGTACCTTGGAGGAATGTGGATCTGTACCCCGTTTAAACAATTCGGGTAAGGATAGGACATTGCTCACTACAACTTACGTGTTGTATACCTTTTATATTGAACTCATAAGTTTCCTTGGTGGATTTGGAATTCAGTGGAGGTCCTGTATAGCGGCAGCATCCACAATGGAATGGGAAATGAATTTTAACAAAAATAATTCAGAGTTTCGTGAATTCTGAGGACGGAATTCCTTTTGTTAAGGGGGAAGAATGTAATACCCCTAGTTTTCAAAAGGATAAAATTGGAATTTAAATTATTTTTAGGGCATTTTTGTGTGATTATTTGATTATGGGTTTAATTATTTTATTCTTTATTTGATTTTGTGTTTAATTATTATTTTTATTTGATTTAAATGATTAGTTGTTGTGTTGGAATGTTTAATTGGTTAATTGAATTCTTTGTTCTAATTGAATTATATGCTTAAGAGGCCTTTGAAATGTTTAATTAAATGCATTGTTTTATTTATTTATTTTTAAAACAAGGTTGGGCTTGGTTAGGATTCACGGACTTTTGGATAGTGTAAATAGGTA